TCTATATTTTCTCCACAAGGTTAGAATGAGATACTTTATCAAAAGTTTTGATAAAATCTAGATAAACTACATCTGTGTCTCTTATCTACTAGTTTAACAATCCCATCAAAAAGGAAATATGATTAGTTTGGTATCAATCAACAAATATGTATTAAGTACCTAACATGTGCCAGGCATTGTGTTAAGTGCTGAGATTACAAATAAAAGACTGAAACAATCCCTACTCTCAATCTGTTCTTTTTTATCTATACTGTCTCTTATCTTTTTAAAAATATCAATGATTTTTATTCTTTTCTTCCTTTTCTAATATTTTACCAGCATCATTTTAATGATACATTGTAGAATTTTCCCAGGAGTCAGGAGTCAAAGTCAATCCCACTGGCTTCTGGTTTACAAATTCTGTTCTTTTTTGACATTAGCCCTGAACAACCTTTGCCCTTGGTACCATTTTCCTTGATCACTCAGACTTCATTGTCATTCTTTTTCAAATAATGAGGTTTTTTTAAATTAATCTGTCCTTCCCACTGACCCTTCTGCTACTGAGCAAATTAAAAACAAACCAAAAAAAATCTTTCAATATCTATATGTCTACATAGCAAAGCAAAATGAATTCAAATTTAGCCATATATGAAAATGTATACCTCTTTATATATTTAAGTTAATTTCTTCTGACAGAATATAAGTGGCATGTCGTATCTTCATTCTTTGGGACTGATGGTTTACTATTGCATTGACCAGAGTTCTAAAGTCTTTAAAGTTGCTTTTCTCTATAATATTGTTATCATTGTATAAATTGTTCTCCTTGTTCTCCTCACTTCACTCTGTATCAATTCACATGCATCCTCTCCATTTCCTTTGAAATCATCTATTTCATCATTTCATATAGCACAACAATATTCCATTACATCTGTATACCACAAATTACTTAGACATTCCTGAGTAAGAAGATACCCACTTAGTTTCCAATTTGGGACCACAATGAAGAGCTGCTATATTTTTTTGTACGTATACATCCTTTTCCTCTTTCTTTGGCCTAATAGTGGAATGGTTGGGTCAAAGAGTATACAGAGTTTAGTAACTTTCTGGGCACAAGGGGCAGCTAGGTGGTGCAGGGAACAAAGCACCATCCCTGGAGTCAGGAGGACCTAAGTTCAAATCCGGCCTCAGACACATAACACTTACTAGCTGTGTGACCCTGGGCAAGTCACTTACCCCCATTGCCTAGCCAAAAAAAACAAAAACAAACAAACTTTCTGGGCACAGTTCCAAATTGCTTTCCAGAATACACAGACCAATTCACAGTTCTACTAACAATGCTCCAACATTTGTCATTTTCCTCTTTTGTAAGCTTTACTGGTTTCATAGGTGTGAGGTAAAACCTCAGAGTTGCTTTAATTTGAATTTCTCTAATTATTAGTGATTTAGATCATTTTCATATGACTTTGATAGCTTAAATTTCTTCCTTTAATAACTGCTTGTTCACATCTTTTACCTGTTAATCTATTGAGGAATGGCTCTTAATCTTGTAAATTTGAATCAAGTCTTTATATATCTTGGAAATGAGACCTTCATCAGAGAAACATTACAAAGGATTTTTCCCAATCACTGATTCCCCAATTTTTACTGCTTTAGATTTGTTTGTGCAACCAGAACTATTTTATTTTGTATGATCCTTCCAATGACTTGTTTAATCATGATTTTTCTACTACATCCATAGATCTGAAAAGTAATATCTTCTTCACTCTTCTAATTTATGATATGACCTTATATACTTAGGTGATATATCCATTTGGAGCTTATCTTGGTATATTGCGTGAGGTGTTGGTCTACATCTAATTACCGCCAGACTATTTGTCCAGTTTTCCCAGCAAAATTTTCAAATAGTGACCCTCTCCCCCAGTACCCATGGACTTTGGGTTTATCACATTGATTTGCTTCTATATTTTCTGTAGCATGTCTCTTCCCGTTGATCTTCCTCTCTTTTTCCACCGTACAAAAATAATTTTCATGATTACTGCTTTGTAGTATAATTTGAGATGTGGTACTGATAGAACTTAGCTTATTCTTGATGAAGCCGTGCTGGGTCTTTGTAATCTTTTCTTCCCTTTCCAAATTTTTGCCAACATCATTTTGATGATCCATTCTAGATTTTTCCTAGGAGTCAAAGTCAAGCCCACTGGCCTCTGGTTTATACATTCTGTTCTCTTCTCCTTTTTGACCTTGACCCTTAAAAACCTTTACCCTTGGTACTATTTTCTTTGATCACTCAGATATCATTGTCAGTGATCCAGCAGTTACATCTGCTAGCACTTTCAGTACCTGAAGATGTTGTTCATCTGGGTTATCTGAATTCATGAAGTGTAGCAAGGAGCTCTTTTACTCTTTCCTTCCTTATCTTGACTATTAGCTCCCTGTCAGCCTTTCAAATATAGTTTTTTTTTCTTTTCCTGAGCTTGTCTCATCAGCCTCAATTTTTCAGAACTTTAGCATTCCTGATGCTATTTTCACAGGACCATAGCATGCTCTTATATTCATCCTGTCAGCTGACCTTGCTTCTGTCTTCTGAGATACATTTCTTTTTTTTTTTCTTTTTAATAGAATTTGTTTGGTCGGTGAATCCTCTGCATATCCACATCAGGCTTTTCAGGCAACTCCCACTTTTGTCCTACTTGGAATCAATTCCTTCATACTTGTATCTTAAAGGTTCTATACCAGAGAAAGAGGGCCGGAAAAAGAGAGGCTTGGTGAAGAAACAGTATAAGTTTAAAAAGTATATTCATATGAAGAAATTCAGGAGTCAGAAGGTGGCAACATGACAGAAAGCATTTCTTTCTTGAGCATCTGCCATCCCTCCTAGTCTGACTTTCCACGTAACATTTCAGTCCTGTCTTTTCTCTGAATTCTTTTAAATTTGCTTTCTCCAAGTCTGGAGTGCGTGTTAAATGAGGCTCAAGTTTCCTTTTCTTCTCTATCACAAACTCTTAGGAGGAGGACTCACTTCCCTCTTTGTCCCGCCCCCCTCACCAAGGATTCCCATCATTTGTAATCAGTTCCTTCATGTTAGTGGGAATCACATCCAGAATAGACTTTCTCCTGATTGGTTTCTTTACTTTTTGAAGTATGAAATTATGACTAAAGTAAGTCAAGAAGTTATTCACTGGGGGTAGCCAGGTGGCACAGTGGGTAGAGCACCGGCCCTGGAATCAGGAGGACCTGAGTTCAAATCCGGCCTCAGACACATAACACTCACTAGCTGTGTGACCCTGGGCAAGTCACTTCATCCCCATTGCCTCGCCAAAAAAAAAGAAGAGTTATTAACTGCTCTGCATTTGACAAAGAGAGAGAGAGACAGAGCTCTAGCAGGTGTCTAGATAATTATAACCACAAGATCTTATGCCTACTCCTCATCTATTCTCTCTTTTTGGCCAGCTGTCTGTAGTACCTTGCAATAACAAAATCACTCCTATTTCTCCCTTCATTGACCTTCACTCAAATGCTCTTCATCAAGTTTTCCTCCCTCTCATTCCTAAATTTCTTCACATGAGCATACTTTCAAAACATATAATACTTTTCCACTGCACTCTCTCATCTGTCTTTTAAATAAGGTGTACTCATCAAGAGTCTTTGCAAAGGAAATGTTAAAACGGAAGTCTTAGTTTATTAATGACAGTGTCTAAAGAATTGCATTTGTTTCCAATGAAGAAAAAATCTGAGGCACTCTAACTTCTAGATTTAATTTGTAAGCATATATGATTCTATTTTTTTTTTGAATTCTGACTCAGTTTGTAAAATCACAGAGAAATTCTGTCTGGGTAGGAGATGGCACTAAAATTCAAACAAAGATAACATTACAAATGGGCAGTTGGTGGCATAGTAGATAGTGTGCCAGACCTGGAATAAGGAAGACTCATCTTCGTGAGTTCAAATCCAGCCTCAGATACTTCCTAGCTGTGTGACCCAGGGCAAGTCACTTAACCCTGTTTGCCTCAGTTTTCTCATCTATAAAATGAGCTGGAGAAGGAAATGGCAAACCACTCCAGTGTCTTTGCTAGGAAAACTCCAAATGGGGTAACAGACAGTCAAATATGACTGAAAACGATTGAACAAAAATATTACAGATGTTCACAATAAAGTATATGAAAATATTTCCATTATTCTTATGAAGGCAGTACTCGTAATTAGCCATCAAGAATAAAAGTAAAGGAGTAAATTTGATCCTTAGGAGGAAGAGGTTGAAAGCTCTAATGCTAATAATACTTATAAAATCTATTTAGAAAGCTAGGTGAATTTTGGAAACCCACGCTGAATTTAATGGTATAATCTGAAGCTTTATGTTGACCATAGGTCTATATGCATTAGATCAATGATCCTCCCACCTCCTCCTGCATCAACACTTGAAATTTACAATAATTTTTGCCAAATTTTTAATTTTTGCCAATATTTACCAAAACTCTCAATTCCCTGCCACAGATTTGAGCAGGCATCTATGGCTATCCAAATCTGTACTGGAACAGGTACAGGAGCTGTTTTCAGGGAATTAAGCTGGAGGCTCCATCTATTTTTTTAAATTTCTGATTATATTTTAATGGTTTTGTTTTGTCTAAAAGTAAAATGAACCCAAATAGGATCACAGAAAATAAAACAAAAAAAACTGGAAAATAAACCAAAAATAAGGGCATAGAAACTGAACTCGCTAAACAATCAGGAAATAAATGCATTGTAAAATTACATTATTTTAATTTTCTAGGCCATTTTCATGATATATTTTTAAACCTATGAATACGTTTAAGGGACCTTATGCATATGGGAAATTAACAAAGTTTTTTAAGGCTATATGAAAAGGGGATGAATAAACAGTTTTATTCTTTGAATCACCATTTTGTGGATCAGAGAAATGAGTGCATTTTATATTTTTAATTTGATTTCTCCTTTTGTCTTTTTTTTTCACTCCCCATCCCTATTCCTCTTTTTTCTCCCCAACGCCAAAAATCCCCTTACAGAAACACAAAGTAGATCTTTTCTACAAATTACGTCATGTAATGAATGAACTTATTGACCTTCGGAGACAGCTGCTCTCAGGTCACCTTACTCAGGATCAGGTGCGAGAGGTCAAGAGACACATCACAGTACGCCTGGACTGGGGGAATGAGTAAGTATGATTACTACGTCAACACTTTCTCCAACTACTTCATAAGTATTCAACTGTCTTTGAATTTGCAAGGTAACAAAGCTTCTTTAACTAGAGAATTATCTTTCTTAACACTGAATTTTTTGCTCTTTCTAATTCTAGCTGTGTGACCCTGGGGAAGTCATTTAACCCTGTTTGCCTCAGTTTCCTCACCTGTAAAATGACCTGGAGAAGGAAATGGCCAACCATTCTAATATCTTTGCCAAGAAAACCCTAAATGGGGTCACAAAGAGTCAGACACAATTGAAATAACTGAATAAAAAATACTAAATGAAACAGCTGAGGTAAAAGAAAGAGAGAGAGAGAGAGAGAGAGGCAGCTGGGGGGAGGGGGAGTTGGTGCAGAGGGTAGAGTACCAGGCCTGGAGTCAGGAAGACCTGCAAGACAAATCATTTAATGTCTGTTTGCCTCAGTTTCCTCATCTGTAAAATGAGAATAATAATAGCCCCTACCTCCCAGGGTTATTGTGAGGAGCAACTGAGACCATAATTGTAAAGCACCTAGCTCAGGGCCTGACACACAGTAAGTACTATATAACTGTTATCTGTTATTAGTTGGATGACCCCAGGCAAGTTACTAACCTCTGTTTGCCTCAATTTCTTCATTTGTGAAATGGGGATAATAATAGCATCTGCTACCTTCCATTATCTTGGTGTGGATAAAATGAGACATACGGAAAGTGCTTTGCAAAACTTCAAGCACCATATAAATTACATATATATATAATATTTATATGTAACACATATTGTTTTTATTATTATTACATTATATGTTTATGTTATAGTTTTGAATGTTTAAATCTGTAGTTGCACAATGAATGTGAATCTGAAGGAATTTCACAAATAGGGGCCTCTGCTGCCAAATATCCTTTTTAAAGTTATATTTTTAAAGTGTCATTTACCTGTGCAGCAATTGCAAAGATTTACTAATGATGTTATCAAACCGGGTCAAATCTGAGGCTTTGGGACAGGAAGATTGTACCAGTAGCTGCAACCTTCAACTTTTATTTTTCTATTGGTCCTGTAATCCTTGTACTTCTCTTTTAAATCACCTACCGTGTAAGTGTGTCTGTATGAAGGAAATGGGGAGCAGTGGGAATTGGGGGGAGAGGAGCACATGAATATTTGATTGAAAATTAATATGTAAGTAATTATCTCGAGTAAAAACTAATCTTAATCAAGAGTCAGCTTGTGAACTCTACATATGTGATGCTTGCCCTATTCAGAGCCCAGGAGTTATAGATCTGAATGGTATGTGCTTTCTCATAATCTTTCCCAAAGGACACACTAGGTGTACAAAATAATAAATAATGAGTTTTCCATGATATATCAAGTCAGTCTTATTAATATGGAGTTCTGTTTTATTAGACAATTTTGAGATTATATTGGCTAAAGGAGACCATGAAGAGAGTATTAAAGTAGACATAGTTAATTGGCATAATCATTTTCACTATGTCAAGTGGAAGACAGGACATGGAAGAAAATTCTGCCAAATACCTTGTTACTTTGATCTGTGATTCTCCTAGTTAAAGTCATACTTGAGTGTGACAGTTCATTCCCCTTTCTAAAATAACACCATGCATGTCAACTTATAAATAAACTAGCTTGGAGAAAATCATATAAAGTACTAAAGACTGGAATATATTTAAATAATTTATATATCATAAGATGAATGCTGTCCAATGCCCACGTGTGAATTATTTTCCTCTGCGCCCAAGGATGTAATTTATGAAGAAATTGGCAGAGCGATGTCTACCGTTCTGGACACTAGAGGGTGATTGCTTTCCCTCCCCTCCCAGAGCAGAAATCACATAGGGTAAAGGAATGGTGTCCTTCCAGTGTGGCACACTCTTCCTCTTTTCCCTTCCTGTTTTCCTTCCTTTGCTTTCTCCATATGGACTTCCTTAGAGATGGCCCACAGGGGGCAGAGGTGGAAACTGGGCTACCTTGTGACTGAGCTAACCAGGGGGAAACCAGCAATATTTTAATGTTCATTGGCAAAGAACAACAAAACAGAGGAATGTTTGTGAATCCATGAGCTCGCCTTATGTACAGTTTTTGTTTTTAAAAAGTGGGGATTAGATTTAATTTGATAGTAACAAAATTGCCATTTGTTTTTGTCTGAATTTCTGAACTTTTTGTTTTCAGCTTTGTATTTTATTGTTTTGTTGATACGCTTTCTTTTTTAATTGCTATGCCTACCTACTATCTCACCAACTCACCCCCACTCCAGAATAGAAACCCTTCACAAAACAAAGCCAAACGCGGGCCGTGTTTGAAAATGCGTGTCTTACTCTGATGCCCTTACTGTAAGCTCAGAGACCACAGGGACTGGTTCATTTTGTATCTGTAGCACCTAACACACAGCCTAGCACATGATGGGTGCTTAGCAGATGATTGCTGATTATTTTATTTCTGCATCTCTAGTTCATTACACAATTCCCTAGAGGTGAGAGACATGAAAGGCATGAATGATCACTGTATACAACTTTAATTGTTTGGAGACTTGCTGCTATCCAGCATCATCAGAAGAATATTGTTATTTCAAAGGATACCTTTAGATAATTAAAAGCACTGATCTAAAATATCCTGATTTTTTACTGTGAAGTTCCAGCCTGATCTCATAAGTAGTACCTAGGAGGCCCCAAAGAGGCAAAGACTCTTTATCTAGCTCCATTGCAGTATTGGAAAACACTGGCAGATCAGAGATCCTGTTGAAGGTACTACCAATTAAAAATATCGGCAGCATACATTTTCTAATTACTCTATGGATTCTAAGTCTCTGTGCTCTTCTACCACGAAGGGTAAAAGTTTCAAAAGCAAAATCAGTGGTTTCCAAAGGAACAAATAAATCATAACTCCTTTGCGCTGTCATCTTTCATTTTTCTCATCGGTACATCAGAAGATGAGAACATCTGTAAAACCTGACTTTTCACAGTGTAACTTATGGCAAAATTGTCAGTCAGTCAACAAGCGATTGTTAAGTACTCACTATGCTGAGCTCTAGCGATTCAAAGAAAGGCAAAAACATAGACCCTGAGGGGCAGCTACGTGGCACAGTGGATAGAGCACCGGCCCTGAAATCAGGAAGACCTGAGTTCAAATCCGGCCTCAGACCAAACACTTGACACTTACTAGCTGTGTGACCCTGGGCAAGTCACTTAATCCCAATTGCCTTAAAAAAAAAAACATAGACCCTGTGCACAAGGAACTTACATTCTAATGGCAGAAACAACTATTTGGCTAAAATACTCATTCAGGTAATGTCAGAAGGAAAGGACTAGCAATCACAGTGACTGGGAAAGGCCTCCTATGGAAGGAGGTTATTAGAAGTGAGTCTTAAAGGAAGCCCAGGGAAGTCAGTACATGAAAGCTAGAATGGATAGAATCCCAGACATCAGCAACAGCCAATGAGAAGGCCCAGTTGAGAGATGGAGTGTCAGCAATGTTACATATTAATTAACTAATTAATTAATTAACAGCCATTGTTACAGGATCAGAGTGTACATGATTGGAGAGGATGGGAGAGAAAAGTGCAAGAAGCCTGGAGAGGTAGGAAGGCACCAGGTTTTGAAAGGCTTTAAATACCAAACAGAATTTTATTTTTGATCCTAGAGGTAATAGAGAGTCACTAGAGATTGCTGAGGAAGGAGTGACATGGTTAGCCATGCTCTTTAGGAAAATCACTTTAGCACCTAAATGGAGGATGGATTCCAGTGGGAAGAGACTTGGGGCAGGGAGGCCAAGGCTGTTGCAATATTCTATACATGAGATGATGAGAGTTTCACCAAAGTTGGTGGTTGTGTGCAAGAAGAGAAAGAAAAACATACAAGAGATATCATGAAAGTAGAAACGAGAAGACTTGGCAGTAGATGAAATACGTGGCACGAGTGCAAAAGGGAAATCCAATAATACCAAGGTTTTGGCCCTGGGTGGCTAACAGCATAGTGGCACCTTTGGCTAGTACTAGGGAATCCTGAGATAAGAGAATGTTGGGGATGGGGAGAGAAGATAATGAGCTCTGTCTTGGACACATTTGAGTTTGATAAGACTACTTTGTCTATTGAGTTTGAGATCTCCAAAAGGCAGTTGGTGATATGAAACTAGAACTCAGGAAAGAAAGTAGGGCTGGATATATAATCTGGGAATCATTTGCATAGAGATGACAGTTGAGTCCATCGGAGATCATGTTTATTGGGTGTGGCCTAGAGAGCAATTCCGCAAAGGAATCTGAGAAGAAGTAGTGACACAGGTAGGAAGACAACCAAGAGATGGCAATGTCATGAAAACCTGAAGAAGAGACGGTATCCAGCAACTCAGGCTACAGGCTCCTCAAGAAGGATAAGGACTGAGAAAAGGCCAGTAGGTTGGCAATTAAGAGATCATTAATGAGTTTTGTCATTACAGTTCAGTCAGGAGTTCTGATACTGAGAAAGCATGTGTCTGCAACTTGTCTTGTATTTGTTTACTTATTTGTTGTAAAGTTAAAGAATCGATCTGCAAGTTTAATGCTGCACCAAGTTTACATGTTGCAGACTGTAATGGGTATAAGCTTGCACTTGTAGGTGGGATTACTTCGTAGCTGCACCTTTGTGAGAGCAAACTTGGTAGGCTGTTTAAAGACATTTTGAAGCTGTGCACAGAAATTTCAAAAAGTAAAAGTTATCAATTTATTTTTATTTGCTATCTATCTCCCCAAATTGATGCCTGGCTCCACTCCTGACTCTCTGGACTTCTCGGCCTTGTCCTCTTGCCCTGATCCCCTTCCTAGCTCCCTTTTATGTATTGTCTTCTCCCATTAGAATTTGAGTTCCTTGAGGAAAGAAATTGTCTTCTTTCCTTACATTTGTGTTTCCAGTTCTTAGCACAGTGCCTGGCACACAGTAGGAACTCAACAAATGTTTTCTATCTGTCTCTAAAAAGCACCTCCCTACTTAATCAAAGTTTTTCCTTATCCCATAA